GTAAGTCATTGTAAACTGTTAAGTGTAAAGTACCTATGTGTAAAATTAAAATTAGTTGAATTTAATAATAAATCATTGCATATGCATAGGTACGAAAAACGATTCTTAGCGAAGATGGTCGGTTAGTCTATATATTACTAACTACTAAGTATATATGTATATATATTTTTATTTTATCGATCATAATCCCGGAAACTATGGCCTTTAGCTGTTTGTAGGGGGAAACGGACGGTTTGGAACACTTAATATATATTGTGTGTCAAGGATTTGTCACTAAAAACCGGGGTGGTCACCCATCCGGGTGCTAGCAACACCGGCGCGGCGGCGGGTACGTACACTCAGAGCATTTCCGCAGTTGACCGCGCCGGTTAGGTTATTTATAATTGTTATCGATGTTTTATAATATATGTAATCTTAAAAAAATAACCCAGTGGATTTCTGTTCTATTTCTGTTATTTATTTATTTATTTTTTTTTTTATTGATATTTGTAGCTTCGGCGACATGGGGGCTTTATACTTAAATTTACATTACCTATACTATTACATGTTTTAGGTGACAATTTAATTACAATAATAAGGGGACATTGAGGCTTATGGCTGTTGACTATATTTATTTTACTTAAATGTATTTGTCTATTTCGGTTGTCCCGAGGAATGATATGATTTTTTCAGGTTGACAGTCGGGTCCGATTATTTCGTATAAGTTCGTTGGTGCATTTATGTTAGGTATAAGAAATAATAAGGATAAGAAAATATATATATATATATATATTAATAAAATATTATAATTACATAGTTATAACAAATTAGACAATTTTGTATTTTTGGACTTTTTGTCCGATACTAAAAAAGTGCGGAACCTTTTTTTCCGGCAATCAAAATATAAATCCTGAAGTTTTGTCCAACTTTTTTTATGCCAGACTTTTTGATCGATTACCATCATACAATTTAGCCAATTCTTTTTTTCAGAGGACCCTAGGTCAATTATAAACCAAATATAATATATAGTATTATAGTACGAAAATCAAATAAGAATCGTACAGAAAACCGTGTAAATAAAAATCGATTTCACGTAGGCCATCTGTATATTTTGCGAATGAAGTTCATTTGTTTGTGTCTTCTCGTATAGTTTAACTACCTACGTGGAAGAGGATATTTTCTTCACTGTGCAAAGTGAAGGTACTATGCCGGAATCCCAAAAATAATTAACTGAAACTGTAATTATAAAGCTTTTCGCTTGTGTATAATAATTCCCTATTAACTATATATAATTACAATATAAAATTAGTGGGTAAAGTTTAAACACAAATAATAATTGTTATTTATTGAATACATTTTTATCGAAGGAAGCGATTTACTGCAGGACTATAGGAGATGTGTATGGAATTGCAGATAAGGCTATTTTGGCAATGGATGCGAAAACATAGTCAACCCTTGAATACTCGGCGTGATCATCTCAACACAAAATGTATAGACATGTTGTGTTTATAATTTGGATTTCGGAAGTTTTACCATCAGTGCGGTATAATATGTATTATGTAGGACGTATATTAAATAAACAAAAGTTCATGAAACATTTACAAGTGAAGTAATAAGAATATTAAGAATCGTAAATGAATAAATCACATTCAGCTATTCACTGCGAAGGAAGTCTGGCAATAATCAGAAGAAGTAATAAAATATTTGAAACATTAATAAAATGTACTGCGCATAATATAATAATGTTGACCATGTGGTCGATGCAATATGTTTATAGCAAACACATGTTATTTATGTTAGTTGAAGTTAGCACCACAATGACACCGATCTACAAGTCAAAGCTTGAAAGCTACAACTAAGTTTAAGGTCACCAAATCGTCGGTTAGGCAATTATAGGCATTCTATAAACAAATGCGCATACCTACTGACACACATATAGTGTGTATACGTCATGTCACATACCTATATACATTTCGTTTTGTATCCATCGGAAAGATTTATACTTGAAATATTAATATTAATTATTTAATGATCTACTTAACATTTGCATAAAATCCAATGGCATGGCGAGTTTCATATTCTCATTTTATGGCATTCAAATTGTGCTTCGTGACTCCAAGAGGCGTCGCAAGAGTTTTCGAAGCGAACCGCGTCAAAACACCGGAAAGCAATAGTAATGTAGATCTTGTATAACTATAATACGAGTATCATATGATATTATTTATGATCATTCAAGTCACTATTATTATCGTCCATATTGTATCCATATTGTATTCATATTATTGTTTCAATTTTTTCATAATAATTTGAGAGCCGTCAAAATATTTTTCAGCTAAAGAGCCGCAGTCAGAAAAAATTTGAATACTTCTGGGTCAATACATGTCATAATATAGTTAATTATATTTTAAATGTTGAAAATATATTTTATTCAAATAAGTTTACTGAGCTTTATTCAGAATTTTCACGTCAGTGTACTTTTAAGACATTTGCCCACTTCACTACTATGGTACTTATAAAAACATCATCATCATCTTGCAATCGAAGGACATGAGATCAGAGCAGTTGTATGTTTTAACACATAGTTTTTCGGTGCATCAAAACGAAACTTTACTAAAACAAACAAATTTTTCAACAATATTGATATTTGTTACAAAAAAATAACAAACGTAAGTAAACTTCCATAATACAGGTTCATCCAAAAATGATCGCTTTTTTGAGTACGATGCTCGATCAAATAAGACGTAACACGATTAATTAATTAATTAGTTAATCATGAGACGTAGGATTTTAAGACGTAATGCGTCCTAACATAAATAAGTGTAGAGTGTGATTTTTTAAATTAGCTCATCCACAAATATTACATTATTATTATAATAATATGAGTAATGTGTTTTATACGAACTACGAAGTTAATGGCACACCAATAGATAACGYTGTATACATAACTTTTATAAGAGAAACATAATATTTTCTTTCAAATAATATTAAACATTTTTCTAAAAATAACAACTACAGGTAAACTCACCGCTAATCACTATAAGAGTATGTTGTTATTATCTGACGAACCATGAATGCGTATCATTGAAACATGATAAAATATATATTATATTTAGTATTTAATTTCAGTATTTTAATATTATTGCTAGTATGCTACYATAGAACAATTTGTTTATATGTATATGTCTATACCTATTATGATTACTACAAACTTTTAAGAAGACTCTATAGGTACCTGCATATTGTGTTACAAAAAAGACGTTATCCCCGCATGTGTAGTCTCCGTCTTACTAGTGCGTAACATAGCAAACTTTATGCTTAGCATAATATCTCGTTTGGTTCCGTTCTCTTATTAAATTTAAAGGTAAAAAAAAAACTGGTAAAAGTATTGAAAGTATTTGAAAATTGTAAATTTTTTTGTACATCTTAAAACACTAACAACTCGCTTCAAAATTAAAATCAATTAAAAAGCTCATGAGGTCGTCTAAATAATAATATTACCTTTAAATTTAATAAAAGGTCAAACTCTAGTTTCTAAACTGACSGAACTAAACGAGAATTTCTAAGCGTAAAATTTCCTATTTTACGCACTTGTAAGACGGATACAACACATGTGGGTAGGTATAGGTAACGTCCTCTTACTTCTTAGTAGTTTCGATAATCGATTTTACAAGGGAAACGAAAAATTGTTTTAAATTGATAATGATAATATTATAGTTACGAGTTTTTGTTTTTGTTTTTCTGTATTTTATTTGAAAATATCGGGAAAAATTATTATGATATAAAAATGCACAGTGCATAAAAGAAAAATAAATATGGCGATTGCTATTAAATATTTATTTCAAAGTAAGATATTAATTATTTCAAAAACATTTTGACGTTGTTGCAAATATTTGTTCTACATAATTTAAAGTCGTTAAAAAACAAAAATTTTCTAAAAATTAAAATATTTATAAGTACTAAACTACATTTTGTCTGAAATTTGATTATTATAAATTTAAATGCTTCTAATAATTCAATAATATTCTGTTCCGGAATATGGAATTAAAAATTCCCGTTGTCATTTAAAAGAGTAATGAGTAGACAACTTAAAAACTGATAACGATAAAAAATAAAGTATTTTTTTTCCAAATATTTTATTTTAAAACGACTTAAAAAACGTTAGTATTTCCTGAAATGATGAGTKTCTTACGTAAAATCGATCAACCCTAAGGTACATGCCCTTTACGCATTTTAGAAATGTTATGTTTTTGATGAAAGTACAATAGAATTGTATATGACAATATGACTGGGTCGAAACGATCGTTTAGACGTTTCATATTATATCATTTTACATCGAGCTACTCTCGAAAATGTTATTACTTGTTTTCCCATATAACCATATAGGTAAGTAACAGAAAATACTATATTACTGCGAACCGTGTAAGCAATAAGTACACAGTATGAATTATTGCGAATTTTTACTTTTAATTTTTAAATTACCAAACAGATCCAATTTGCTACCTACCAGAAACTAATTTTGAAATTAAAAATTGAAAAGGTGATGATGTATGAAAAAAAAACATACATTCATACCATTATTATAAGACAATACATTCATCGCTCAACTTTAAATCTAAAAACCACGTCTACGGCAGAAATAAGTATATGTGTATTAATAAGTATAGCCCACCTTAATATGAGACAATAAAAAAAAAAATAGTTTTCGAAGGTCGTGATCCTGGACCTAACCCACTGCCACTTTACATTATATATTATTATCTCGATAACGACAAAATTACGATATATGCATGGACTGGCATTGTCTGACGGTGATATTATAATAATATTATACAAATATCTGTCGCTATATTTGGTACTATATATTGTGGGCGAGGTACTTACGCCATTTTTTTTCTGGTTGTTCGCTTTTTAAATCGTTCACAAATACGCATAACCATAATAATAATACGTATATAATATTATGTCCATAATAAATATTCAGAGATTTCAGAGAAGCCATGTTCATATTGTGCATGATGATGTTCTTGAGGGTGGCGAAAGATTTACACTTTTACAACATGATGGGCATTAACGACTGCAGCTCAATTTATTTTGGTAGTCTATACAGAAAAAGAAATATAAAAAAAAAATGATTATGAGTCATGTGCTTTAATTTAATATGGACAACATTTCAATATACTTTGTTTAATATGTATCCCTAACCACMTAATCCTATTGTGCCCCTAAGGTATAGATTGCTAAGATTGCTTATTTCAAATAAAGAAAATGTTTTATAATATTGTATGACTATAGGTTGTCATATTATTATGAGCTTTATTAATACGCACGTCTATTAATTATTTTGTGGGTTTTTTTTTTACTAATTAGCATTTAGTCCTATCTAATAAAATAATAATCATTTAGATAAGAGGATTCAGGAATAAACAATATTTCGTGATATATTATGTCTTGTTCCAATTTCCATTCATCTATATATTGTGTTATAGTATTAAACAAAACAACAAAACTGTAAACGCTAATAAGTGATCACCACAACAATTGGTTAGGATCATTAATATCCATATTTTTTCGAAAATATGAATCAATATTTTCTGCTCAAAAACGTGTAAAAATCAAGAACTATGATTTTCATTTGAAAAAAACAGTAAGCCCGAAAAAATTGTCTCACTCACCCTCATCTCAACATTATAATAATTTAAATATTACATTATTCTATATTGCCTCCACTCTCATTAGACTTTGTATTGAAAAAATAAACGATGCAAATAACCGCGTATTAAGATAGGCGTAGAAATAATAACAACAATAAASAATAAACAATTTGTTCACCATTGACGTCTGCTTCAGATTATTGTAAGAGTTATATCAACAATAATATATATATATATATATAAATACAATATCGGYGCGTCTAAATTTACGCAATAAAGAAAATTTCCTAAAAAAAGGTTTGGTTACTTTTTGAAATAATGAGTGTTCTGCAGTATATTTAAGAGTTATACACACCTTGTATGCGTGTGGCATGATCGGGATGAGTTTTGAGGGMGATCTCGAGCAATTCCTCGGCAGCTTTGGTATCGCCCAGCCCCCATAATGCTTCAGCCTTGTAGAGGACGGCGTTTAGCGATCGATCATTGAGACGCAACGCTCGATCGCAATCGCTGATCACTTCGTCCATCAGACCCAAATTGATCTTGGTCAGCGCCCGGTTGGTGAACAGCACGCAGCTATCTTTGCGTACGTCGATGGCCTAAACAAAATRTATAAAACAATAACAAATCGATTTTTGAGTATAATATTATAGTAACGTAGTCGTACACAGTTTTAATTATACTTTTATCTGGTCATTATTTACCAATATTTTGATTCTACTGACTACTAAGTATATATAATTATCATCTATACTATATTTATATCTATTACATTTTAATTGTTCAGTGTGAAGGTTTTAAAAAAATATTGAACCCCGAGAATATGTTGCTTGCAGTCAACATGACACAGCGACCAAGCGCGTATTTATTTTTTTAKTCCGGTTCCTGTATCTGCTTTCCTTTAGGAGTTAAGCATTGGCTAGAATATGTGTTTATAATTTTGGTCTTAATAATAACATTGTCGAATTGAGATGAAATAACATAAAAATTAACATTATTTCTGTTAAAACAATTCAAAAAGTGAATTTACGTGGGGCAGGGCCAGAATGAA